AGTATGTTTTGGGAGATAAGGTAGGAGTAGATTCGTTTATGAATTAATTTTTCGAAGATTTTTGAGAGAGGGTGTAAGTTGGATATTGGTCTATAGTTATTCAACTCTGTTTGGTCTCCTCCTTTGTGGATCGGGGTGACCCTTGCTATTTTGAGTACTGTAGGGAAGGTGGAGGATTCAATGGATTTGTTAAAGAGTGTTGCAATGATTGGTGATAGCACTTGTGACACTTTTTTGTTATAAAGGGTGGTAAGGTATTTAAATCTCCTGCCTTGTTTTTTAGTGCGTTGATAATAAGGGAGACTTCGTATGGGTTAGTCGGAGCTAGGAACAGAGTGTTCGGGTAGTTGCCGGTGAGGTAGTCATTTGGTGGGGTATCTGAGCTTGGATTTTATTGGCAAGGTTTTGTCCTATAGTGGGAGAAGAAATCATTGAGTCTGTTGCTGTTTCTGTTGGTGGGAGTTGAGGTTCGTCTGATTTTGCTAATTTTATTTCGCTATTTCGTGATATCTTTTTTGTTCCAGAATTTCTGATAGGGTTTTCCAGGTCTTTTTTATATCACCTCGTAAGTTGGATAATCTGTTCTCATAATACAATTTTTTTTGCCCTTCTTATCAGGCTGGTTAGGATTGACGAGTAACGTTTTGTTTGGTCTCTGGTTATGTGACCCATTCTGTACTGTTTTTCATATTGGTGTTTTGTATTTATGGATTTGAGAATGCTGGGTGTTAGCCAGGGACTGTTCAGTCTCTTAGCTGTCATCTGTTTAGTTTTTTTAGGGCAGTGCTTATTATAGAGGTATTGGGTCTTTTTTAGAAAATTATTAATACATTCGTCAATATCTGTATAGATTTCTAGCTCAGTGTGCCAGTCAATGTTTGCTACTGCTGTTGTGAAGTTATTAATGGCTGCCTCATTGTGAAGTCTGAGCACACATTGGCACGCATTGGCACACATCAGAAGAGTAAGCCTGTCTTTCACAGGCTTATGTCCTGGGAGTGCCTTTTCCTCCTGAGTAATGTACGTCCTGTTTGGCATTTTCTTCCAAAACAGGCCTGTTTCGTCACAATTAAATACTTGTTCAGGTTTCAGTCCTTCACTGTCTATGTACTCCTTGAATTCCTTCACATATTTTTCAGCCACTTTTTGGTCCGAACTGGCAGCCTCACCATGCCTCATCACACTATGTATGCCACTACGATTCTTAAATCTCTCAAACCAACCTTTGCTGGCCTTAAATTCACTCACATCATCACTAGTTGCAGGCATTTTTCTAATTAAATCCTCATGCAACTTCCTAGCCTTTTCACATATGATCGCTTGAGAGATGCTATCTCCTGCTATCTATTTTTCGTTTATCCACACCAATAACAGTCTCTCAACATCTTCTATCACTTGCGATCTCTGTTTCGAAAACAAAGTTGCACCTTTGGCAAGAACAGCTTCCTTGATTGCCGTTTTCTTGGCCACAATAGTAGAGATGGTTGATTGGGGTTTTGTGTACACCTGGCGAGCTCGGAGACACGCACTCCACTTTCATACTTAGCAATGATCTCTTTCTTCATATCCATAGTAATTCTCCCTCTTTTTGCTGTAGGGTTGGCACTAGAAGCTTTCTTGGGGCCTATGGTGACTTATTTTGCAGGTACAATCACTAAGAAGGCTGTCATCATATGAAATGTTCCAATTGTATGCTTGGAAGCGACCACGGTGGCTGGCTTGTAAACACTGGCACCCACGGAACAAGTGAGGCGGGCTCAGGCCACACGTGGACGCGTCTCGAACGAACCGCATTGAGCGAGTTTTTTAGCGCTAGCCGAGGCAAAATTTTTGTGTTAAAATGTATCGCTAGGCGGATTTAACGTTATGCGATGCGTTCGTTAGGCGGGGTTCCACCGTACCAGAAACAGCACCGGTTCTAGGACTGACCCTGTGGAACTCGCGTTTGTGTGCGTGTGCATGTACTCACCTAATTGTGGTTGCAGGGGTCGAGACTCAGCTCTTGGCCCTGCCTCTTCACTGATCACTACTAGGTCCTCTCTCTCTGCTTCCTGAGCTTTGTCATACCTCATCTTAAAGCTATGTATGGTTCCTGCCTCCACTACATCACTTGCTAGGCTATTCCACTTCCTGACGACTCTATGACTGAAGAAATACAGTGGTCCCTCAATAATCATCCGGCTCGATAGTCGTCCTTTTCGGAAATTGTAGCGTTATTCTCGTCCAAACATTGGCTCGCAAATGGTCAGTTTACTCGCTAATCATCCTTCGTCCGGGACGCGTACTCACACTTTGAGCAGCCTTGGCCTCCCTTCCCAGCCAGTGTGCCATTGTTTACCAGTGAGCGAAGCTCCCCTCACTTGTTCATACGAAATATTTCATAATACAGTGGACCCCCGGTTAACGATATTTTTTCACTCCAGAAGTATGTTCAGGTGCCAGTACTGACCGAATTTGTTCCCATAAGGAATATTGTGAAGTAGATTAGTCCATTTCAGACCCCCAAACATACACGTACAAACGCACTTACATAAATACACTTACATAATTGGTCGCATTCGGAGGTGATCGTTATGCGGGGGTCCACTGTATTCCATTCATTTTAGTGCTTGCAAGTGCTAAATAAGCTACCATGGCTCCAAAGAAAGCTCCTAGTGCCAAGCCTTGGTAAAGAAAGTGAGAAATACGACTGAATTTAAGAAAAACATCATTGAACAATATGAAAGTGGCGTATGTGTGTCCGAACTGGCCAGGATGTATAACAAATCCCATACAACTATATCTTCCATCGTGGCCAAGAAAAATGAAATCAAGGAAGCTGTTGTTGCAAAGGGGGTAAATATGCTGACAAAAATGAGATCACCAGTACTCGAAGATGTTGAGAAGTTATTATTGGTGTGGATAAACAAGAAACAATTAGCAGGAGATACTCTTATGACGTTGATTATTTGTGAAAAGGACAGGCAGTTGCACAACGATCTGGTAAAGAAATTGCCTGCAACGAGTACTGATAATTGTGAATTTAAAGCCAGCAAAAGTTGGTTTGAGAGATTTAAGAAGCATAGTGGCATACACAGTGTGATAAGGCAAGGTGAAATGTGGGGTAGGATGGAAAGATTTATGGAGAAACATCACCCTGAGAAGGATGTTGGAAGCCATATCGGCAACTTGTACAGTGACAAAGTCTTGGCCCATTTTAGGGAAGTTTTAAAGAGACGCCAAAAACAGAGCTCTCTGGACACTTTTTTTTGTGAGACAGGACTCCAGTGACTCTCAAGCTGGTCCTAGTGGCATTAAGAAACAGAGAAGAGAAGTAACCCCAGAAAAGCACTTGGTACCTGAGGTGTTGATGGAAGGGGATTCCCCTTCCAAACAGTAACTAATCCAATCTCTCTCCTCCTCCATCCTTCCATACACTAAGAAGAATCGCCAATAAAGGTAAGTGTTATGCTGTTAATGTTTCATTCATCATGTCCCATTGTATTGTTTATGTACTACATCTATATTTCATGTAAAAAAAAATTTTGTTTTAATACTTCAGGGTGTCAGGAACGGATTAATTGTATTTACATTATTTCTCATGGGAAAAATTTATTCGAAAATCGTCTTTTTCGATAATCGTAGCACTTCCAGGAACGTATTAACGACGATAAATGAGGGACCACTGTACTTCCTAACATCCTTGTGACTCGTCTGAGTCTTCAGCCTCCAAACTGTGACCCCTTGTTTCTGTGTCACTTCTCTGGAACATCCTGTCTCTGTCTATTTTATCTATTCCACGCAGTATTTTGTATGTCATTATCATGTCTCCCCTGACCCTCCTGTCCTCCAGTGTCATCAGTCCGATTTCCCTCAACCTTTCTTCATAGGACATTCCCCTGAGCTCAGGAACTAGCCTTGTTGCAAACCTTTGTACTTCCTCTAATTTCTTGACATGCTTGACTAGGTGTGGGTTCCAAACTAGTGCTGCATACTCCAGTATGGGCCTGACGTACACAGTGTACGGTGTCTTGAACTTTTCCTTACTCAGGTATCGGAACGCTATTCTCAGGTTTGCCAGGCACCCATATGCTGCTGCAGCAGTTATCTATCTATCTATCTATCTATCTATCTCTCTCTCTTGTGTGCGTGCGTGCGTGCGTGTGTACACAAGCTCAACAAGTGTCTCTGAAAGTGAGCTGATTTGAAACATTTTTTGAATATGAAGACCACTGAATATGAGAATGTGAAGACCACTGAATATGAGAATGCAAAGACCACTGAATATGAGAATGACCCAAAACTGCTAATAGTTTATATTATATGAATAAACTCACAAATAAGGGCAAATTTTCAATCAATGTTTAATTTTTTCATATACTGTATGAACAGTATATCCTCCATACATTCATCCATCCAGCCACCTATACATTCATACATATTTATTTTTACCTCATCAGCTGTCTCCCACTAAAACAAGAGAGACCCAAACAAGAAATTACATTTACCATCATTCATTCAGTTTGCTGACATGACAAGCAGTTTACCCTCCAGTTTCACCACCCCCGCCCATCTTTAAGAACGCAGGCACCAACCTTCCCTCCTTCAAGACTCAAGCACTCAACATAAATACACCTACCATCCGACTTACGAACTGCTCGACTTACGACCACTCGACTTACGACCGTGTTTTTTATGCCAAATTTCTGGGAAATAAACAACTATTTGTGTTGTACACAGTGTTTATCCTCAACCTTACAGTATAAAATACAGTACTAACAACATAAAAAGTAAAGTAAAACATGAAATACCAAAATAAAACAATAAAATAAAGTCATTACAAAAATGTTTTGTTGATATTCAGTAGTAAAGTTTGACTTACGACCATTTCAACTTATGACCGGTTTCTCGGAACCGAACTCGGTCCTAAGTTGGATGGTAGGTGTACTCTCTACCGTGTTTTCATCACCTTAAAGATAAAAGATGACATACAAAGAAGAGTAAACAGTCAACATACATACTTGGGATGTCTTACTTCCATCTTCATCTTCTGCTTTGGTGTTCTGTCTCCGTGTCTTATCACTGCCACCACACATCGCAGTTCCATCCTGGAAATTACGTCAAGCAAAAAATTACACACGATAAAAAAATAACAAGACTTTAGTAAAATTCTTCCCTAGGCTTGTAAAATGATCAGCACCAGTGACAGCCGTGCAACACAGACATTATAAACCAGAAAGAATACCAACTCACTGTGTTTATTATAAAGGCCTCTTTTGTAATGAAGGAATATTATTAAAATATTCAATATAGTAGTCATACAGCATCTAAGGGATAGGAGGCAATCAGCTTTGATCCAAGGGATGAACAGCTGCAATTTCTTAGTTCAAGAGCCTTTCACCAGCATGACGGAACTACCCTTGAAAGATCTTAACTTCGTACATTACATAGGGTAGAATTTTTTTTTTTTTATCAACAAGTTGGCCGTCTCCCACAGAGGCAGGGTGACCCAAAAAGAAAGAAAATCCCAAAAAAGAAAATACTTTCATCATCATTCAACACTTTCACCTCGCTCATATATAATCACTGTTTTTGCAAAGGCACCCAGATACAACAGTTTAGAAGCATATATAAAGATATATAACGTATCCTTTCAAAATGCCAATATCCCAAACCCCTCCTTTAAAGTGCAGGCATTGTACTACCCATTTCCAGTACTCAAGTCCGGCTATATAAAATTAACCAGTTTCCCTGAATCCCTTAACTAAATATTACCCTGCTCACACTCCAACAGCTCGTCAGGTCCCAAAATATATTCTTTGAATTTTTATTCACACAAAAAATAGAAGATTTACTGTTATTCAGACTACTACATAATTGTAATAATTGTGTAAATAATATCAGCACATTCATGAATGCATATTAGACCCACCAGTTGATGTGTATTGGATGCATGACATTAGCTGTTTACTCTTGAACATTGGCAAAAATCGAACATTTCCGCTACTTTGAGCTCAATTTCAAGCCACTTTTAGTCTTTAAACCATTGAAAATCATCTATATTTCTGTAATATATCTTCCATTCTATCATATGAGACCAAGAAAATGAGAATACAACCATAAATACCATACAAAAATACACTGTAAAGTCGCTGTTTTAAACCAATAACATGGTCACAGTTATTTTCTTATGCAATGCGTGCTGCAGGATTTTTTTTATACTGAGCACACTGACCATGCAGACTCATCCTCTCACATAAAGGCCTACCAGCTTTCTCCTCTAAGATTTGAAGCCACTAGAACTTTGCCATTAGCTTTCCTCTGATAGGTAAGAGGCAGGTAAATTTTCATTTAATGTACAGTATTTCAGTTGAATTTTCATTTAGTATTTATTTTTACAGTTGTAGTAGGTAGTACATTATTATTAATAAATTATTTTATTGTCATTTTTGGTCTGGAATGGATAAATTCTATTTACATTATTCTTTATGGGAAAAATTGATTTGGTTGTTGAGCATTTTGGTTGTTGAACCAACATCTGGAACAAATTAAGTTCAACAACTTAGGTTTCACTGTACTTTTTTGGAGGGGGGGGGGATTTTATTCCTAGCTGTACTGAGCACTTAATATATGACAGTGTAAATACATTATCAGGCATTTTAGGTGCATTCAATCATGAAAAAACTACTCTTTTTCCCCCCACAATCAATTTTCGCTAATTGCACATGGTCAGAAACCCAAGAGCCATACAAACAGAGCCCTCCTCTAATGGCAATTAAACTTCCTTCCATATCTACATGCTACTTTGGCATAATATTAACATATTTTGAGGGGTTTGAGATATTGGCAGTTTATTTTATTTTTTTTTTATCACACCGGCCGATTCCCACCAAGGCAGGGTGGCCCGAAAAAGAAAAACTTTCACCATCATTCACTCCATCACTGTCTTGCCAGAAGGGTGCTTTACACTACAGTTTTTAAATTACAACATTAACACCCCTCCTTCAGAGTGCAGGCACTGTACTTCCCATCTCCAGGACTCAAGTCCGGCCGGCCGGTTTCCCTGAATCCCTTCATAAATGTTACTTTGCTCACACTCCAACAGCACGTCAAGTATTAACCCTTTCAGGGTCCAAGGCCCAAATCTGGAGTCACGCACCAGTGTCCAAGAATTTTCAAAAAAAAAATTTGTTATTTTTTCTTATGAAATCATAGAGAATCTTTTTGTGAAGGTAATAAAACAAAAAGTACGAAATTTGGTGGAAAATTGACGAAATTATGCTCTCGCGAATTTTTTGATGAGTCATCGATAATTACTGAAATCGGGCGAATTTTGCCGACTTTGACTCCAATTTTAGGCCCAATTACTTATCCCAATCAACCAAATTCTAGCTATTATTCACAAGTATTACTCTATTCTATCGATTAGCACAAGAAAACGCCAATTCAATCTTTTCAACTACAGAAATAAAGTGATCGTAAATTGTTAATTTGGCCAATTTAACACAAAGACAAAATATTCCAATTTTAAAAAGGGTCCCTAGAATAAACAATGTAAGGCATTCCTGGCCCACTAAACACATTTCCTCTGTTCATTAGTTATGTTTGAGGCTGCTTTACAAATAAATTCCATTTGATTTTTTTATTCCACATAAAGATTTTTATCACAGCGCCAAACAATAAAGATTTAACTGTATTTCAATACTGTAATAATTGTAAAATATCATCCACCATATTTGTGAATGTATATAGACCCACCAGCTGATTGTCTTAGAACGTGTGGAGGTCGTTGTTGTTTACTCTTGAATAATTCGGCAAAAATTTAAACATTTCCGCTACTTGAGCTCAGTATTCAAGCAAAATCATTTCCAGGCTAAACCCAATCAAAATCATCTCTAATTCTGTAATATGTTTTTCCATTCTATCAAATGAGACCAAGAAATCGCAAAATACAACTATAAAAAACAATGTGCGAAAAAACACTGCCAAAGTTGGCTGTTTTTAATCGAAAAAATCACATGATATCCATTTTTTTTCTCCTCATTATACACAGTGTGCTGCAGATCTGTTTAAATGTGGAGCACAGCATACCACAAGATGAATTTCTCTCATATCTAGGCCCAAATGTCCCACACACACAGTTTAATCAGATGAGCTGGAGCTCATGGCGTAGATCTACGGTTTTTTTTGACACACACCTTAAAGCCGTAGATCAACGGGACGGACCCTGAAAGGTTAAACAAAACCATTTGTCTCATTCACTCCTATCAAACACATGCTCACGCATGCCTGCTTGTAAGTCCAAGCCTCCTCGACACAAAACCTCCTTTCACCCCCCCTCCAACCCTTCCTAGGCCGACCCCTACCCCGCCCTATCCTTCCACTACAAGACTGATACACTCTTGAAGTCAATTCTGTTTCGCTCCATTACTCTCTACATTCCGAACCACCTCAAACAACCCTTCCTCAGTGCCCTCTGGAACAACAGTTTTTTGGTAATCCCGCACCTCCTCCTAACTTCCAACTACGAATTTCTCTGCATTATATTCACACCACACATTGCCCTCAGACATGACATCACCACGCCTCCAGCCTTCTTCCTCGCTGCAACAATCATCACTCACACGCTTCACACCCATATAAGAGCGGGTAAAACTATACACTCATACATTCCCTCCTCTATGCCTCCAAGGACAAAGGGGGGTTTTTTTCCTTTGTCTCCACAGACTCCTAAGAGCACCCATCTCACATCACTTTTTTCCCTCATCAATTCTATGATTCACCTCATCTCTTCATAGACCCATCCGCTGACGAACGCGACCGTCACTCCCAAATATCTGAATACGTTCACCTCCTCCAATACTCCCTCTCCCTCCAATCTGATATTCAGTCTTTCATCACCTAATCTTTTTGTTATCCCTCATAACCTTACTCTTTCCTTATTCACCTTTAATTTTCTTCTTTTGCACACCCTAACCGCAATTCATCCACCAATCACTGCAAACTTCTCTTCAGAATCCTCTCCAAGAGCACAGTGTCCATCAGCAACAGAGCAGCTGTTGACAACCTCCACTTTGTGTGTGATTCTTATCTTTTAACTCCACCCCTCTTGCCAAGAAACCCTGCATTTACTTCTCTTACAACCCCATCTTATAAATATATTAAAACAACCACGGTGACATCACACATCCTTGCTAAGGCCTACTTTTACTGGAAAAAATTTTACCGCTTTTCCTACAATAACTCTAACTTGAGCCTCACTATCTCGTAAAAACTATTGCACATGCTTTTTCAGTAAACCTACCTCCTACACCATAACACACTTGCAACATTGCCACATTGCCCCGCCAATCCACCCTGACATACGCCCTTTTTTTCAAATCATAAAATGCCACAAAGACCTCTTAGCCTTATCAAAATACTGTTTCACTTTATATTGTTTTCACGTAAAAGCCCCTGGTCCACACACCCCCACCTTTCCTAAAGCCTCCCTTGTTATCTGCTATCCCTATTCACCGACGTACTCATAATTCTTTCAATTATAACTCTACCATACACTACCAGGTACACTCAACAGACTTATCCCCCTAATAATTGTTGCACACTCTTTTATCCCCTTTAGCCTTTATAAAAAGGAACGTATGCATGCTCCTCTCCAATCCCATAGGTACCTTACCCTCCTTCCCATACATTTTATTAATAATTGCAACCAACCACATCCATTTGGAGTTTGGTCAGTTAGGAGTTATATATTGTGTATTGTTTATACGTATATACTACAAAACTGTGTCTTCAGAGCACCTCTGCAAAAACAGTGAATTATTAGTGAGTGAGGTGAAAGTGTGAATGATGATGAAAGTATATTCTTTTTGGGATTATCTTTCTTTATTTGTGTCACCCTGCCTCGGTGTGAGACGGCCTGGCTTTGTTGAAAGGAAAAAAAGTAATCAATCTCTGGAGGCAAGGGCTTAGTAAACCCTTTCTCCTGAATAAATTACTAAGTGTAAAAAAAGAAGCAAAGCTTTTGTAAGTTTTCTCCTTTTTTGAGTCACCCGCCTGCCTTGTGGGAGAAGAACATTATGACAGGTATAATAAAAAAAATTGTATCTGCTGGTGTTTTGTCTGTGACAGCTTACTTTATGTGTTTAAGAATGTGGTAACTTCATATATATGTATGGAATGTCTTTTATTTTCAGTCTCATTTCCTTTCTGTTTTCTCCTCACTGTCTTCTCTTGTCATCTAAATTTTGACTAACATTTTTCTATCCTGATTTACTCATTCAGTTTGTACTGCTCGACTAACATTTTTATTTTGTGGCTTAATTTAACCCTTTAACTCTGTCCGACATACTAGTATTCACTGCTGTTGCCGATTAGTGATCATATTTTCACGAAATTCAACACACCATAAAATCCAAAGTTTTTATCAGATTTTGCTCATTTTAGTCTTATTCATTTAGGAAAAACAAACTCTTATCTAACTGTAAGAAACAATATTTTTTATTTTACAAAATCTTCCCACAAAGAGTTAAATTAGTTTCTTCACCTTTTCTTTATCTTTAATTATTATTCCAGTCACCTCTCTTATAAAAGTCCTTTAAATAATACAATTTAGTTTTCTGTATAACTGAACAGCACGTGAAAAAGAAAAAGACACCTTCACCATCATTCACTTATCACTGTTAAAACCATACAAAATCTACACAAAAAATCATTTTATGTTAAGAACCAATTAAAGTGGTAGAAAACTGTACTACAATAACTACACCACTACAGTATGTTCATTATGTAGAATAAAAATCCCAATGCCATGGCAGAAACATTCACAAATAACCAATAATATAGAGAGGAAATGTCAAATGCCATTTCAATTCATTGTGGACCATTATCAAATCACTTAATAGTGGCCCAGAACAGACCAAACTTTTATTTAAAGTTTCTTTTCCAAAGTGTGGGCTATTGTTGAAATCTTTATGTTATAAAAATATATAAACACACAAAGGAAATTATACATACATTTTTCCAAAAGTTGTTGGGACAATTGGTGGATCATCCAGCTGGAAAGGAATTGCCCAGGGGATGTGGAAGGTGGGTGCTAATTCCCGGAGGATCATGTTGCCCAGGATCTTGGCACAGTCATCATAGTATTTGCTCGAGTTTTTCACAAAGCTGAACCCATTCACATCACATACGTATGATTTTCCATTTGCTCTATTGAAAAGAAAATCCTTAAATAGCACATAAATAAAAGATATTTGTTGAAATAATTAAATAAAGCATTGCTTGATTTAGGGCAACTGTTGGAGATATCTATGGTCTTACATAAGATAACGGGTACATCTTACTACTTCTACTTACAATTAGGTTACGCTATACATTCATGAGCATGTACAGGTTGGCCATCACTAATCCGGCACTAATTTCGGCTAGCATAACTTAAAATTTCCGGGATGCCACACCAACCTGCCGCTACTGTTTGGTGGCGCTACTTGCTGCATAAGTCATTCCAATTTCTTTTTCTCCATTTACTGTTATAATCTGTTCACTTTTAGCCCTAGCCATGGTTCCAACGAATGTAAGAAATGCTTGACTCATGAAATCGTAATGACACGACTGCAAACAAACCATACCACAGGTGGGGTTAGAACCTGCTTCTCGTTGTGTAAAGCACATACACCGTATCTTCTCCATAAAAGATGGGGAGCCTTTAATTAAGCTATGTGTATAAAGAGGTTAGGTAATAAGTAATACATATTTTATGAAAAAGAGGATAAATAAATATACGTATAAGGTATGATTTAGCACATAATGAAAGTAGTTTATTAGATTATGTATCGGCGGATAAAAGGTTGATGGGTAGGCTTCAGGATGTTCATGTTTATAGAGGGGCAATTGATATATTGGATCATTATTTAGTTGTAGCTAGTTAGAGTAAGAGGTAGATGGGACAAAAGGAAAATGGCAACAACAAGTAAGAGAGAGGTGAAAGCATATAAACTAAGGGAGGAGGAAGTTAGGGTGAGATATAAACAACTATGGGCAGAAAGGTGGGCTAATGCAAGTATGAGTAGTGGGGGGGTTGAAGAGGATTGGAATAGTTTTAAAAATGCAATATTAGAATGTGGGGCAGAAGTTTGTGGCTATAGGAGGGCAGGTACAGGAGGAAAGTGGAGTGACTGGTGTAATGATAAAGTAAAAGGTGTGATAAAAGAGAAAAAGGTAGCTTATGAGAGGTTTTTACAAAGCAGAAGTGTTATAAGAAGAGCAGAGTATATGGAGAGTAAAAGAAAGGCGAAGACAGTGGTGAGAGAATGCAAAAGGAGAGCAGATGATAAAGTGGGAGAGGTACTGTCAAAAAATTTTGATGAAAATAAGAAAATATTTTGGAGTGAGATAAACAAGAAAGCCTAGGGAACAAATGGATTTGTCAGTTAAAAACAGAGTAGGGGAGTTAGTAGATAGGGAGCTGGAGGTATTGGGTAGATGATGGGAATATTTTGAGGAACTTTTAAATGTTGATGATGAAAGGGAGGCAGTAATTTCATGCACTGGCCAGGGAGGTATAACATCTTTTAGGAGTGAAGAAGAGCAGGATGTGAGTGTGGGGAGGTGCGTGAGGCATTACGTAGAATAAAAGGGGGTAAAGTAGCTTGAACTGACGGGATCATGACAGAAATGTTAATTTAAAAGCAGGGGGGTATATAGAGGAGTGGTTGATATTTTTGTTTAATAAATGTATGAAAGAGGAGAAGGTACCTAAGGATTGGCAGAGAGCATGTATAGTTCCTTAATATAAAGGGAAGGGGGACAAAAGAGACAGTAAAAATTATAGGGGAATAAGTTTACTGAGTATACTAGGAAAAGTGTATGGTAGGGTTATTACTGAAAGAATTAGAGGTAAGACAGAATGTAGAATTGTGGATGAGCAAGGAGACTTTAGAGTGGGTAGGGGATGTGTAGATCAAGTGTTTACATTGAAGCATATATGTGAACAGTATTTAGATAAAGGTAGGGAAGTTTTCACTGCATTTATGGATTTAGAAAAGGCATATTATAGAGTGGTTGGGGAGCAATGTGGCAGATGTTGCAAGTATAGGGAATAGGTATTAAGTTACTAAATGCTGTAAAGAGTTTTTATGAGGAGAGTGAGGCTCAGGTTAGGGTGTGTATGAGAGAGGGAGATTACTTCCCGATAAAAGTAGGTCTTAGACAGGGATGTGTAATGGCACCATGGTTGTTTAATATATTTATAGATGGGGTTGCAAAAGAAGTAAATGCTAGGGTGTTCGGGAGAGGGGTGGGATTAAATTATGGGGAATCAAATACAAAATGAGAGTTGACACAGTTACTTTTTGCTGATGATATGGTGCTTATGGGAGATTCTAAAGAAAAGTTGCAAAAGGCTAGTAGAGGAGTTTGGGAAGGTGTTTAAAGGAAGAAAGTTGAAAGTGAACATAGAAAAGAGTAAGGTGATGAGGGTATCAAATGGTTTAAAGAAAAATTGGATATCACATTGGAGAGAGGGAGTATGGAAGAAGTGAATGTTTTTAGATATTTGGGAGTTGATGTGTCAGTGGATGGGTTAATGAAGGATGAGGTTAACCATTGAATTGATGAAGGAAAAAAGGTGAGTGGTGTGTTGTGGTATATGTGGAGACAAAATACATTATCTATGGAGGCAAAGAAGGGAATGTATGAAAGTATAGTGGTACCAACACTCTTATATGAGTGTGAAACTTGGGTTGTAAATGCTGCAGCGAGGAGGCAGTTGGAGGAAGTGGAGATGTCCTGTCTAAGGGCAACATGTGTAAGTATTATGCAGAATATTTGGAGTGTGGAAATTAGGAGAAGGTGTGGAGTTAATAAAAGTATTAGTCAGAGAGCTGAAGAGGGGTTGTTGAGATGGTTTGGTCATTTAGAGAGAATGGATCAAAGTAGAATGACGGGGAAGGCAGGGTAGGGGCCGTCTTCGAAAAGGTTGGAGGGAGGGGGTAAAGGAAGTTTTGTGGGCAAGAGGCTTGGGCTTCCAGCAAGAATGTGTGAACGTGTTAGATAGGAGCGAATGGAGATGAAAGGTTTTTGGGACCTGACGAGCTGTTGGAGTGTGAGTAGGGTAATATTAATGAAGGGATTCAGGGAAACTGGTTATTTTTATACAGCCAGACTTGATTACTGGAAATTGGAAGGACAATGCCTGCACTTTAAAGATGGGGTTTGGGATATTGGCAGTTTGGAGGGATATGTTATATATCTCTATATAAGCTTCTAAACTGTTGTATCTGGGTGCCTCTGCAAAAACAGCGATTATGTATGAGTGAGGTGAAAGTGTTGAATGACGATGAAAGTATTTTTTTTTTTTTGGTAGGGGGGGGGGTTCTTTCTTTTTGGGTCACCCTGCCTCGGTGGGAGACTGAGGCAGGGTGACCACCATCAGCTGTTGCTGCACCACGGTCAGCTGTTGCTGCACCACGGTCAGCTGTTGCTGCACCACGGTCAGCTGCTGCTGCACCACGGTCAGCTGCTGCTGCACCACCGTCAGCTGCTGCTGCACCACGGTCAGCTGCTGCTGCACTACTGTCAGCTGTTGCTGAACCACGGTCAGCTGCTCCTGCACCACAGTCACTTGTTGCTGAACCATGGTCAGCTGCTGCTGCACCACAGTCAGCTGCTGCTGTACCACAGTCAGCTGCTGCTGCACCACCGTCAGCTGCTGCTGCACCACTGTCAGCTATTGCTGCACCACGGTCAGCTGCTGCTGCACCAAAGTCAGCTGTTGCTGCACCACGGTCAGCTGCTGCTGCACCAAAGTCAGCTGTTGCTGCACCACAGTCAGCTGTTGTTGCACCATGGTCAGCTGTTGCTGCACCACAGTCAGCTGCTGCTGCACCACAGTTGACTGCTGCTGCACCACCATCAGCTGTTGCTGCTGCTGCACCACCACCAGCTGTTGCTCCACCACCATCATTTGTACTACTCGAAGATGTGGAGTGTGTGTTGTTGGTGTGGCTTAACGGGAAACAATTACTGAGAAACAATTAACCCCAGAGGGTTAGCCACCCAGGATAACCTAAGAAAGCCAGTGCATCATTGAGGACTGTCTAACTTATTTCCATTGGGGTCCTTAACCCTTTGAGGGTCGACAGGCCCTCTCCGAGACTCGTTCTCAGGGTCGGCCAAATTTAAAAAAAAAAAAAAAATTTTTTCTTATGAAAAGATAGAGAATCTTTTCCCGATCATAATGACACCAAAAATATGAAATTTGATGGAAAACTTACGGAATTATGCTCTAAAGAAGTTAGTGGTCTCGGCGATGTTTACGGATCGGCGATTTTGCCCACTTTGAGCCCCATTTTCGGCCAGTTCCACTGTACTAGTCGACAAAAAACATGAATATTTCGCTAGAACTCCATTTTTTCTATTGAATGAGTTCAAGAAACCACCCATTTACTAATTTCAACTATCCAGTACAGTGGTCAGAATTTAGCAATTTTGCCAATTTCACACAAATTTCAAAAGATGCCAGTTTCTGAATAGGGTCCAGAACAAACAAGAAATACATTCCTGGCACTAAAATGACATTTCCTCTGTTCATTAGTCACGTCTCAAGGCCCCTCTTACATTCTTTTGCTTTCCACTTTGAATTTTTATTCTCACAAAAAATTGAAGATTTACTGTTATGCAGACTACTGCATTAGTGTAAAAAATGGTATGAATCATATTGACGCACTTGCAAAAGAATATCAGACTCACCAGTTGACGTGTATTGGACGCTTGGCATGATTTGTTTACTTTTCAACTTTGGTAAAAATCGTACATTTCTGCTACTTTGAGCTCAATTTCAAGGTACTTTTCATTGTAAAACCAGTCAAAATCATCTCAATTTCTGTGATATGCCTTCCATTCTATAAAATGAGACCAAGAAAACTAGAATACAACAATAAATACCATACAAAAATACAGTGCAAAGTCGCTGTTTTATTCCAAAAAAACGGTCAAATTTTTTTTTTCCCATTATGCACTGGGTGCTGCAGGATTTTTTTTATACTGTGCACACTGACCACATAGACACATTTTTTCATATGGAGGCCTACCAGCTTTCTCCCACTAGATTTGAGGGCGCTAGAATTTAGGCGTACTAGTACGTCAAAAACCCTGGGTCGTAAGCCGTACTAGTACGTCCGAAACCCTCAAAGGGTTAATCTTGTCCCCCAGGATGTGACCCACAACAGTCGACTAACACCCAGGTGAACAGGAAAAAATGCCTGGAACTAGTGCTCGTATTGGTGAATTTAAGGCCAGCAAAGGTTGGTTTGAGAGATTTAAGAATTGCAGTGGCATACACAGTGCGATAAGGCATGGTGAAGCTGAAAAATTCCAACCCCAACAAGTGTTCAGTTGTGACAAAACAGGCCTGTTTTGGAAGAAAATGCCACACAGGACCTATATTACTCAGGAGGAAAAGGCACTCCCAGGACACAAGCCTGTGAAAGACAGGCTCTCATGTTTTGGTGTAACGCTAGTGATGATTGCAAAGTGAAGCCTTTACTCATGTATCACTCTGAAAATCCCAGTGTGTTCAAGAAAAACAGTGTCTCATCACTCATCAATACTCTTCAATAAAGGTAAATGTCATTTTAACATTTATTTATGTAGTTATTGTGCATGTCTCATTGTTTTCTTTGTAGGGAAATGTATATTTCATGAAAAAAATTTTTTTTTAATACTTTTGGCTGTCTGGAACGGATTAATTGGATTTCCATTATTGCTTATGGGGAAAATTAATTTGGCTAACGATAATTTCAGCTAACAATGAGCTCTCAGGAACAGATTAATATCGTTAGGTGAGGGTCCACTGTATTGCTAATATCAATACAGTGGAACCCCAGATTTTGTCCGCACCGGATATCGTATGATTCAGATTTTGACCACTTTTTTTGGCGAAATTTTGCTCCGCATTTCGTACTGCATTCCAGAAATCATCCGTATCAGATGCGTCTGCCCGCCTGGGATGCCGCCACTCATGCGCATGTGTCTCAGTCTGGCTCTGTCGCAGGTTGAGTGAACATTCATCCGAAACATTTCGTAATAATCCATTGTTTTTGTGCTTGTTTACTGAGTGCAACTGCGAAATAAGCCACCATGGGCCCAAAGAAAGTTTCTAGTGCCAGCCCTTTGGTAAAGGTGAGAAACACAATAGAATTCAATAAAGAGATTAAGGACATTTGTGCAAAGTGGAATAAGGTGCATACTTTTGTGATACAAGCCATATCTGCAACATGTTCAGTGACAATACCTTGTCCCATTTTTGGCAAATCTTAAAGAGACGCCAAAAACAGAGCTCTCTGGACAGATTTTTAGGGTGACAAGGGTCCAGTGCAAGTAAAAGACAAAGAAGGGAAGTAACCGTGGATAGGGCTTTGATACCTGAAGTCCTTATGGAAGGGGATTACCTTTCCAAACAATAACCTCTGCTCCTCCTCCCTCACCCCTCCTCGTCATCCATACCCCAACAAGAGTCTTCAGTAAAGGTAAGTGTGATGTTAAATGTTCATTTATCCATTTCATTATTCATTTATATTTCTTTCTCATTGTTTTCTGTATGTAAAACTATAGTTATTCTTTAAAAAATGAACTTTTTGTTAATATTTTTGGGTGTCTGGAACAGATTAATTATATTTACATTATTTTTTTGTGGGAAATATTGCTTCAGTTTTTGTCCATTTCAGATTTAGACTGACCTTCTGGAATGGATTAAGGACAAAATCAGGGGTTCCACTGTATTAATGTACAATGAAAATTTTTTTTTTTTTTTCAACAAACCAGCCGTATCCCACCAAGGCAGGGTGGCCCAAAAAGAAAAACGAAAGTTTCTCCTTTTTAAATTTAGTAATTTATACAGGAGAAGGAGTTACTAGCCCCTTGCTCCTGGCATTTTAGTCACCCCTTACAACACGCATAGCTTACGGAGGAAGAATTCTGTTCCACTTCCCCATGGAGATAAGAGGAAATAAACAAGAACAAGAACTAGTAAGAAAATAGAAGAAAATCCAGAGGGGTGTGGATATATATGCTTGTACATGTATGTGTAGTGTGACCAAAGTGTAAATAGAAGTAGCAAGACGTACCTGGAACCTTGCATATTTATGAGACAGAAAAATGGACACCAGCAATCCTACCATCATGTAAAACAATTACAGGCTTTCGTTTTACACTCACTTGGCAGGACGGTAGTACCTCCCTGGGTGGTTGCTGTCTACCAACCTACTACCTATAACAATGAAAACTGTTAAACTTAATCTGATCTTCTCAGTAGTGTAGAAAAATAGGATTATATTCAAAGAAATATAAGCATCCAATATTTATTTAAATAATAATTAGATACGACTTGACAGACTTGGGGCAATTGTGGTAGACACTTATGATCTATTATCTGAATAAATATCACAAGACATGCAATTGTGTTACATTTTAAAATAATGTCCCCTTTACTTTCCCTTCTCTTTTTCCTCCTCCTCCTACTCCTAGTCCTACTCACCCTCTCTATCTCTCCTCAACACTGCTGAACTTTCCTACAACCCTAACCATACATTATCTTACCTCATAATCTGAGTGCCAGATTTTGGCATGGGATTGTGAAATGTGAATCTACAAATTGTGATCTAATATACTGTATTAAATCAGAATGACTGTGTGGCATAGCAGCAACAGCCTAGTTGACCAGGCAAGCATCAGACAAGCCTGGTCTGTAGCTGGACTAGGGATTAAAAAAACTCTTATAACTCATCAAAGGTATATCAAAGGTAAGGTAGCCTCCAGATAGAACAACATATTATCTCAACAGGGTCTCAATGTTGAGATAAGGTCATAGGCTTACCTACAAAAGTGCTGTTCTTGTCCATTCCATTTGTTCTAACACTGCAGCCTTTACAACAAACATTATGCAAATATAATTTAATGCTTGGTATTTATTAAGGAAATGCTTGCAAATGTTGTATGATTATAATAAATACCAAAAAATGTAATGAGGCTACTTTCCCAGTCTGTTTACTTATTGTAAATGTATTCCCATCAAATCAATTGATTCCACAATTCCCAGTATTGCTTTGTGGATAGCTGTGTGATACATCATGCACTTATAGTGAATACAGATTATGTCAAGAGGTGTGTATCTCTTGCTGTACATATACTGAGAGCTTACTTAATCTTCATCCTAGGAAATAATAGTAAAGGCAAACTGTGCTGAAGGTTTATGATATATTCCAATATCTAATAACATAATGGATGCAGTATTTAAATATTATTTAATATGGTTACTGGTACCTTTTGAATGAAATCTTATGCTCAGTTTTCAATTAGTGGCCAAGGACCACACTCAAAATATCAAAGCTCTGATTCATCATTGCTTAGTAGCAGCCTTATAGTCCTGTGCTAGCGCATTTTTTTGATTAAATAATATAATAATCATAGCTTGTTAATCTTAAGTAATTTTAGCCAGCTCGTATGCTATCATAGTATGTAGTGGCTTTGGCATACGCTCTTATCGTATTTTTGTAACCATCTGTATTGTCACAAATTGGAAATAAATAAATAAAAATAACAATAAATGAAGACCTCTAGAAATCTTTAAAATCAATCTTGCAACTGCAAGCTTGCAAAATTGGAGACTGTTCCTGTTGGGTTTACAAATAATGTTTGTTATAAGCTACCTCAAATTATAGCTCAATAAGTTTGTCAACAATGCTCAACTGTCAGTAACAAATCAAACTACCATTCAAAATTAACAGAATCTAACTGCAAGAGAAAAAGTCTGTACAAAAAATGTTTTTTTCATCACAATAGTATATTAACTACCTTAACAAATCAAATCACAGATGTCTGCTTGAAGGCAATGCACACTTTTCTTGCTATTAGCTTTTCTGCATTTGATAAACACAGATACCGAACTCTTGCTCACTGTCTCGTTCATTTACCATCCAATGCAGGAGATTTTCGAGCTTCTGCATGTGCATAGTCAGGACCTACTGTATACACCTACAAAGATAAGAAGCTGTCACAAAATGAATTATTAAAAAAATTTTAAAATATGTAGGTCAATGCACTCATGTCCAAGATTTAACATAAAAGAATAGAATTCAAATTACAATGACTGTAACAATTCACCACTAACACACAAACCGGAGAAGAAAATAATTGACATTACAGTCTGTAGTGCACCACTATTGTTCACAATTGTACACTGATCCAGGAAGGACAAAAACATCTTGTGTCATTTGTAGATTAATTGTAAATAAAAGACACCAAACTTACCTTAACAAACCACAGAACAGGTGGGGTTTGAACCCATGGCAAATGAGTCCTAAAACTTTAGGCCAGTATGTTAACCACTTGGCCAGCTGGCTACAATAAGATTCATCCAACTAGGTATATTTCTGTAAACCATAAGGCAGTTAGCATGGGCCACCACTATGACACATGCAAATTCTACATGAAGGCATCTTTGACCCTCTGCTTTTGCTCTTATACATCAACAACCTCCCAAATATTTCTCAGCAACTTACACCTATTCTCTTTACCAACGACACAACTTCTGTCATCTCTCAAGCAAATCTTGCATCACTCAACATTGTTAACGAAGAGCTCTTAGAAATATAAACCTGGATGACTACCAATAAACTCACACTTAACATTGACAAAACCTACATTATGTTTGGGAGCAGAGAAAGTAATGTCCAACTAAACATTAAGATTAACAATACTCTAAAGAATGAAGAATAAAGATTTTATTTCTTTGTAAAGGTTACAATGTGTAATTACAATTTTGGTGTTAAGTACAAAGAAAGCCACTATCATGCTGGGGCATTTCAGGCAGACTAATCCTAGTACATAACTACTTAAATCTAGACAAGATAAGAGTGGTTAACTTTTTAATAAATCTTTATTTAATCTTATTACTAAACATAATGAGGGAAAATTTCTGGGTCTGCACCTTGACAGCAACTTGAAATTCAACACCTATATCCAACACATAACAAAAAAAAAAAAGTGTGCAAAACAGTTGGCATCTTCTCCAAGATACATTATTATGAAACCACATAATAAATAATGCCTGAGGATCCACAACAGCAAATCACTGCTACACAACACCCCCAACCCATCACCCCACTCTTCAAACACCTAAATCTACTTACTATACAATACATTCACTCTTAATATTGTGCATCCCACATATACAGAACAATAAATTCTAATATTAATCATGATCTGAAGCACTTTCTTGATAGTTGCAAAGAGCCCATAGACATAATACTAGACACAGAGATCTCTATGACATACCCTGTGTCCAGTTCAACCTTTGCAAAAACTCAATGCGCATAAAAAGACCTAAAATCTGAAACTTCCTGCCAGTTATCTCCAGAGCCACTATCTCTGCCAACATCTTCAAAACAACTGTTAAAAAACACCATCTTTCACTAACATATTCCAACAACAACTAAATATGATGAAACTATATTCTCATTGCCACAAGCATTACACACAATATATTCTAATTCTCAGTATCTCTAACCCTCACAGCCATTAAATACATTGAATGTGTTCAAAATATGCTCATATGCTAGAATCTTCATTACCTGTAACCATAAGCCAACCTGTAATCCTTAAAACAAATAAACATGATAAAAGTGTTCATTGTAATTCCTAAATTATTATTACAACCACTTAGAGACAATATGTACAAGCAATCAATTAATTACTGCATTATTAGTCTTAACCCTTAAATTGTCCAAATGTAGATCTATGTTTGCACGCATAGTGCTCCGACCTTGATTTTCTCCATGAGAAAGAATGAAAAAAACGTAGATCTATGTTCAGAGCGCTACGTGAGCGAACGTAGATCTACGTTTGGACAGTATAACCCCTTGACTGTCACAACCCCCAATCCTAAAGTGTCTCCTGGTGTCGCAAAATTTAAAAAAAAAAAAAAAATATTATTTCTTATGAAATGATAGAGAATCTTTCCCCAATTGTAATGACACCAAAAACACGAAATTTGATGGAAAACTGATGGAATTATGCTCTCGTGAAGTTAGCGACCTCGGCGATATTTACAAATCGGCGATTTCGCCCACTTTGAGCCCTATTTTCGGCTACTTCCATTGTTCCAGTCAACCAAACTCATAACTATTTTCTTAGAAATCCATTTTTTCTATCGATTGAGTACAAGAAACTGCCCATTTACCAATTCCAACTACCCAATAACGTGGTCAGAAATTTGCAATTTGGTCAGTTTCATGAAAATTAAAAAATAAGACGATTTCAAAATAAGGTCCAGAATGAACAATGCAAACATTCCTGGCTCTAAAACAACATTTTCTTTGTTCATCAGTCATGTCTCCAAGCCCCTCTGATATTACTCTTGCTTTCAATTTGAATTTTTATTCAAACAAAAAATAGAAGATTTACTGTTATGCAGACTACTGCAATACTGTAATAATTGTATAAATAACATCAACCCATTCATGACTGCATATTAGAATGGCTAGTTGGACATTTATTGGACAATGACATCATTTGTTTACTTTTGAACATCGGCAAAAATCAAACATTTCCCCTAATTTTGAGCTCCTTTTCCATTTCTTTTTATAGTAAAATCAATCAAAATCCCCTCATAATATTTTTTTTCCATTCTATCAAATGAGACCAAAAACAGAATACAACCAAAATCATACGAAAAAAACCACAAATCGGCTTTTTAATTAAAAAAAAGGCGAAGTTTTTTTTTCTCTTAGCACGCATGCTCCAGGATTTTTTTTTGTATGGTCACAGACCACACAGACCTTCCTCACAGTGGGCCTACCGTTTTCTCCTGCTTGTTTTAAAACCGCTGAATTTATGAGTATACAGTGTAAAATACCCCAAAAGGGTACCTCTAAACGATAATACGACCTCGACAGAAAAGGGTTAAGGGTTAAATAGCCAAGTTTTCCTAAGTGCCGCAGTAACCTTCAACCTTTTTGGTGTAATATACCTTACGGCAAATGTGTTTGACATATATGTATCCCAAAAAATTCTGCATTTTAAAATCAACGGGAGACAGCGGACCCCCACAGTAAAAGGAATGGGTCTGTGTGGTCATGGGCTATAAAAAAAAATCCTGCAGCACGCAGTGCATAATAAAAAAAAAAAACTCCGCCGTTTTTTGGATTAAAACGCCAACTTTGAGGTTAATTTGTATAATTTTATGGTTTATTCTTGTTTTCTTGGGTCTCCTTGATAGAATAAAAAAACATATTATAGAAATAAAGTGTTTTTGATTGGTTTTAATATAAAAAGGGACTTGAAAGGAGCTTAAAGTGGCAGAAATATTCGATTTTTGCTGGGTCAAGGTAAACAAATGACGTCATTGTCCAACTACCCCATTCTAATATACCGTCATAAAGGGGTTGACATTATTTTTACAATTTTTCAATATTGCAGTAGTGTGCATAACATAAATCTTAATTTTTTTCTGTGAAAAAAAATTCAAAATAGAAAGCAAGAGATTATAGCGGGGGCCTGGAGATTTTTACGATGAACGAGAAAATTTTTAATTTAGTCCCCAGGAATGTCTGCATTGTTCATTCTGGACCCTTTTTTGAAACTGCATATTTTTTTAATTTGCATGAAATTCCCAAAATTCCCTTTTTGACCACCTTTATGGGAAGTTAAAAATCTTTAAAAGGGGGCATTTTTTTTGACTAAATTGATAGAACAAATGGAATTCTAAAAATACTGCGATTTGGTGGACTGAAACAAGGAATTGACCGAAAATAGGGCTCAAATTGGCAAATCACCGATTGTAAACTTGCCGGGGTCGCTAACTTCGCGAAGCAAAATTTTTCCCTAATTTTTTCCCATCAAATTTCATGTTTTTGGTGTCATTACCATGGGGAAAAGATTCTTTACATTTATTTTTTTTTTTTTTTTTTTTTTTTTTTTCAACATTAACCCTTTCAGGGCCCAAAGGGCCCAAAAATCTGAATCACCACCAGTGTCCAAGAAATTTTAAAAAAAAAAAAAATTATTTTTTTTTACAGAATTAAAGACATATTTTTGTGAAGGTAAAAAACAAAAAAATTAGAATCTGATCATACTTACCGAGATACAGTGCCAAGAAGTTTGTGAAAATAATTGGGGCGGCAACATCGACGAATTCCACATCCCGTATTATTTATTTTTTTGTTTTAGTTTTTTTTTTTCTTTTTCTTTTCCAATTTTTTTCATTCCTAAAACATTTGGGGCCCTGAAGCCCAATACTGTATATAATGTAATATATAAAAATCACTGTTTTGAACAAAATAACCGCACTAAAGTTTTTACATTTTATTTTTTTACCACTGTTTTTTTTAAAATAAACAGCACAAAATTTTGTATAATACTAATTTTCTTCATTTTTTACATTTTTTACAATCACTGGACATGGTTTTAGAACTGGGGGAGCTTGGGGAACCCTTAAACAAGGCACCATCACAGGGGGCACCTTTACTTTCCTCACACAAAAACCGAGTGTCTTTGCGCTTTGTTCCGTCGTTTTTTGTGCACAGACAATGCACTCTTCACAAAATTCTTTTGGGTTTTGGGGGGAAGCTGTATTAGAAATGATCACCTTCTCTTCTCAAACGCTTGGTATATTTTGATAATTCGGGACCATTTGTATTGCAGGGTTTTTTTACCTGGTACTTCATTAGATTTTCTGACACAGACAAACAAATTTTACCTACGGGTCTGTTACCATCTTTATTTTGGACATATTTTAATCATTCAGCATTGGGAAAAGCCATGGATGGAAAAAAATTTCAGTACCCTTTTAACTCTTACAACACAGTCAACCAAAACCAATCTGCATGTCACACTTGCAAAACCCAAACGCATTTTTGTGTATAACAATCACTG